CCTCTTGGCAAAACTGGCCAATTGTGGCCTTGGGTCCACTGTGATCCGCTGGCTGGGAAATTGGTTCCGTGGTCCTGACCCAGAGGGTATTAATTGATGGCAGTCACTCATCATGGTGTCGTGCGACCAGTGGGGTCCCCCAAGGCTCTGTCCTTGGACCCATATTATTCAACATCTTCATTAACGATGTGGACATTGGAGTCAGGAGTGGACTGGCCAAGTTCGCCGGTGACACCAAACTTTGGGGCAAAGCATCCATGCCAGATGAAAGGCAGGTGATCCAGGCTGACCTGGACAGGCTCAGCAAATGGGTGGATGAGAACCTGATGGTGTTGAACACTGAAAAATGCAAGGTTCTCCACCTTGGGAGGAAAAACCTGCACCATGCTTATAGGCTCGGCAGTGGTACGCTGGCTAGCACTACGGAAGAAAGAGACTTGGGGGTCATGATTGACCACAAGATGAACATGAGCCTGCAATGCGATGCTGCAGTTAGTAAAGCGACCAAAACGCTGGCTTGTATCCATAGATGCTTCTAGAGCAAATCCTGGGACGTCATTCTCCCATTGTACTCGGCCGTGGTGAGACCGCAGCTGGAGTACTGCGTCCAGTTTTGGGCTCCGCAATTCAAAAAGGATGTGGAGAAGCTTGAGGGAGTCCAGAGAAGAGCCATGCGCATGATCAGAGGTCAGGAAAACAGACCTTACGATGACAGGCTGAGAGCCAAGGGGCTGTTTAGCCTGGAAAACCGCAGGCTCAGGGATGATCTGATGGCCATGTATAAGTTTATCAGGGGTGACCACCAGGATCTGGGGGAACGTTTGTTCACCAGAGTGCCCCAAGGACCGATGAGGTCGAACAGTCATAAACTACTGCGAGACCATTTCAGGTTGGACATCAGGAAGAATTTCTTTACTGTCCGAGCCCCTGAAGTCTGGAACAGCCTGCCATTGGAGGTGGTTCAAGCACCTACTCTGTTCAAGAGCAAATTGGATGCTTATCTTGCTGGGATCCTATGACCCCAGCTGACTTCCTGCCCTTTGGGCAGGGGGCTGGACTCGATGATCTTCCGAGGTCCCTTCCAGCCCTAATGTCTATGAAATCTATGAAATCTACAGGTGTTAATGACCCTCTAATTTTTGATGGTCTTGATCTTCTGGTATTCAAACTATCTCTGCCGTTTTGATGCCTGTTAGCCATTCCTGTTAATGTCTCTCTTTCATTTCACAGGTCTACAGACTGTTTTTAGCTTTAGCTAGAAACCTTTACTCAGGTGTGGTCATAGTAACTGAGGTATAGAAATGACTGACAGTCAAGTTTTGGTGAAGCACTGTCAAGATGCTCAAGAAGGCTAAATTCTGTTTTATGAATAACGACTACAGGACCAATGGTCCAATATCTTTTGACTATTTCGACTATTTTTGCCTAGTTTGTTGTATTTTTTTTTAACCTTTATATATACTCTGGCAAATTAGTGCACATTCCAACAGTTATATTTATTTTTGCTTTGGACTTAAATGAAATAGTATAGTGCTAGCTCCCTCAGGTATTAGTAAAGCTTCTAATTTCTCTTTAACTGGAGAAAAATGTATTGTGTCATATGTGACGAAGTGCTACACCATCTATGCTCCGCTTTTCAAAATCCTAGATCCACCCATGAATACTGTTCTATGTTTGTCCTTTCACAGCATCTCATGAAGTAAGCTCAAGTTCAAGAATGCTTATGCTCTATATATGTATTTTATTTAGTTAGTCTATAAATCTACCCTGCCTTCTGCCAGAGAAGATATGTGCCATAGTTGCTTACCGTTAATACAAGGTGTTAATCAAGTGAAATCTACCCCTCTGCACAAAAACATCACAGGATTTGTGACCTAATGACCTACGTGTCACTCTAAGTAGATCTTAAGTGGTATGTAGCCATTTTGTTGGCAATGCAGAGCAGTGAATTTCAGCCACTGTGAAATAGATATACCTGTGTCTTCTCAGTGGAATATGCACCACTGAAAAGGTACATGTTTTTACTATCAAAGCACTACCCTTGGAGTCCACTCAGTTTTGCTAATCACATATATTTATATTTGGATCATGAATGAACAAACATTACTGAATATAATGAATATGCTTTAGTTTGCCTTGGTTTGAGAAAATGTGGATTCTGGGCTTTTATAACCAGACCATTTCAATTAAAGCAGTTTGGTAGTCACTAATCAAGAATTCTGTTGTTTGGCAATAGATGGCGTTAGCACTTTTATGCAGCTAAACAAAGTCTATGCATTCTTATATATTCACATAGCAGCCATAATAGTAAGAAGCACTTTGCAATACTTCTTTAGAAAGGTATAGTCTCTGCCCCAAACAATTGGTAGTATACATATATGCATATCTAATCATGCTATTATGTGTGTGTGTGTATATCTATTTATCTAGATGCATATGAAATGATTTTGTAGATTTCCCCTTTGAACCATTTTGTATTTAAATTCCTAACTTGCATTCTGGCAGAAACTTGGAGTATTTATGAAAACACCTGTTAAATGTTGGTAGGAGAACTCCTTTGGAGCTGATCTGCAGCTGTGTTTTTTGTTTCCAAAGCAGAGAAAATGCCAGTTCTGGCTCATCATTTTCAGAAATGGCAGTTCTTAAAGGACTGCGATACCTGTCTCTGTCACGGAGCGTGCCAAGAAATATGTAGCAGTCACACACTGATAAATAGCTAGGTCTTGACTCATAGTTTTATTAGCTTATTAATGGCAACAATTCAAATAGGTATTATATTCCATTACAAATATGAAGCAGTTTACTTCTGTTGAAATTCCTACTGACAGCTCTGTTTGCCAGCAGTCATTTCCTTTTTTATATGGATATTCAGAAAATTACAGGAAATATTGTTTTATTCTCTTAGCAATTTACTCCTTTTAAATGTATGAAAATAAGACTAAAACCTTTTCAGCATGAGAAATAAATTAATATTCTTTTCCACCAGGAGCTATGTTGAAAAACAATTAAAATAACAGGCTATGTGATCTTGTTTCTGGTTTTTCTGCATCATAGAAAATAAGAGGTGGGCAATAAGGAATTAAAACCATACTCCTGCTGTTTAAGACAGTTACCATTTCTTCCTCCTGAGTTGTTTGTTTGTTTGTTTAATTAGTAAACACAGGTTTTGTGATCTGTAAATTTGAATCCCTTGTGCCTGAAAGGAACTTTAAGTTGTGGAATGTAAATAAGTATAACTCAGGAAATCCAATCAGGGCTGTTCCAAGGAACACCTTTTGCATTAATGGAGAATTTAGAACAAGCCCGACAGGCTAAAAAATGCAGCTGAAAATGTAGCCCATAACCATGTCTGTATGCTCTGGTTTTTTGGCAGTGGTATTGTGGATATATGACTCATAAAATGCTTGTATTTCAGTTTCTCTCTGGGTCCCTGTTTCTTGCCTTTTGGCTGGATATTGTAATTTATTCACTGTGGGACCAAATTCTTCCTTCCCATTCATTAACTTTGATGAAAGCTGCATGCGCAAGGATGAAGTCAGAATTTGGCTTCAGACATTGCCTATGCACCATGGGTTTCTGTAATTTATACCACATCCTCTCTTCTACACTGAAAAGTGGTTTGGGACTCTATTTGTAATCAATATTAAGCAAACTAAGGCCCTGATCCTGCAAGTAATTATATAGCACAGAGCACTACTAACTTTATTGGCATTTTTTGCAGGCTGAGGAGTTGAATGTATTTGTCTGCAGGTTATAAGGTTTAAACAGTAGGGCCCCCTGTACATGTTACATGTATTGCAGTTCCCTGGATAATTGTACAATTCATTTAGACTGTTAAGCATCACTCCTAAAAAGGTCGAACCAGTTATAAAGTTAGATCTGGGAAATGTGCAATAATTTTATAGGTGGTGTTTATTTAGCTTTAATTTGCACAAGTAGCCTGTGCCTAGTATATTTAATGTGGAATACAGTAGTTTATAACTTAGATTGTGCAGAGTTCTGCATGCTTTTCGTGGGATGTTGAGTCCACAGTTCATGAGAGCACCCACCACTTGATGTCAGTGGATAAACATTCAGCCAGAGGTACTCAGTAATTCACAGGATCTCAGGCCTTTGGAGCTCACTCCTGACTACTTTTTCAGAGAGAAGTCTTGCTGAATTCAATGAACTGTTTGCACAAGAAACATTGCATTTTGTTTCAAAGTTATCTACACACTTAGCTGATGCCAGTTATTGGATGTAATTTATCATTTGATGTATTTGAAAAGTCTGAATTCTTGTGGATTTTTTTTCCTTTCATAGGGCAGAAGCATCCTCAAGCAACAGTGCTTAATATATTTTCTGATTATGATTACAACAGATCGGTCATAACAATAGCAGCTCCCATTGATATGTTGGGTAAGAGGATCCTTTACATTGTTTCAATATGTTTAAACTTCCAAACTCCTCTTCCTTTTTGTCCTAAGAGAATGACTTTGTACTTTGATTGCTGGGAAGAGGGCTCATCTCAAGTTTTCTGCCCACTCTAACTATCAAGAGACTTCTTGAATATACTGGAAGTTTGAGTAAGTAATTTAACAAATTAAAATGTGGAATTTCTGTAAGTATAGCAATTACTAACCGTGCACATTTAAATAGGAGGGAAATTTTCCTAGGGATGGTGTAAAGTGTAACAGAAAATTGTTAAGGCAAAGATTTTCAAAGAAACCAATTGGAGTTGGCTGCCCAACTCACTTTCCTGACTTTCTAACATCTCTGCTAAAGGACCTTATTCACTTGAATATAAGACAAGGTTTTCATCCCTGATCAGCACGGGAGGGAAATGCTCCTTCGCCTATATTCGTATACAAGGAAACATCATTAAACTGTCTATCATTAAACTACTGCCAAATCAGCATGTGCTCTGTAAGAGAAACTAACTTTGAAGTTGATTAAATGTAGCCAGCACTGAGCAAGACTATAAAAGACACCGTCCATATGGGGCAAACATTTTGTGTGTGTGTGTGTGTGTGTGCGTGCATGCGTGTGTGCGTGCATGCGTGCGCGCGCGCGCCTTTAAAAAAGGGGGGGGGCAGTTGCTCCCCAGGAAGGAACAAGCACCAGGCCTGGAGATACTGCAATACCAGGCTGGCCAGAGCCAACCCCAACACCTTCCTCTTGGTGCCCTAAATGTGCTACATTTCATCTTAGCCAAAAAGGCTGAGATGCTGACAGGAATCTACCACATTTATTTTTTTTTTAAGGAAAAAAAATTTTGTGTCCCAGGTCAAATCAGCCAAATCAATTCCAAATCCATGAGTCATTTAAGAACCGTATGTGGCCCTACTACTGGCAAGTATCTTCCACCCCCACCTGGGATGTCGAATGCTTCCAGATCATTTGGCAGGCATCCTATGTGCAGGCCCAAACCCAAAGGCTTTGGTTTCGAATGCCCCTGAGTTTCGCTTGTGCTCAGCCGTATGTCCACAGAAGCAAGCTAGGTAGGAGTCTTCCATTTCCATAAAGTTGGCATATAGCTAAGATCTTCCCACTGAAAGTGAAAGTGGGAGACTAATTATGCTTTACCTCGGTCAAGGTATTACCTTCTGCCAAGAAAGTGGTTTTCCCCTGCCAGTAAGAAAACCACCTTAGTGGTCATGGTATTTCCCCTGCCAGGTAAACTTTTTTTTTTAAGGAACATTTTTCATGTCCCAAGTCAAATCAGCCACTGTGTTAACATTCTGGGATTATTAACAAAATAACTGTTTTCACTTGAGGTCAGAGTTAAGACTGCAATATTATATAACTGTTTTCCAGTGTTAACTGTTAACCAGTGTTAACACAGTACAACATCCTTCTGAAAAAATAGAGAGTTATATATGTACACATTAATGACAAGTGTTGATAGATTTCTAAAGATAATCCTTACGTACTGAACTGAAAACAATGCAACTAGATACAGAATATTATTCTAAAATAAAAAAGCTACTGGTTTCCAAACAGTGTACTATGCCTTGATAAATATATTCAGTATTTCCCTTGTAACAGTTTCCTTTAAAAGGGAATGTTTAAGTATTCAAGTCAAAACAACAAAAATAAAAGAAAATAAAAAATTGTGGCTCAGAATTGAGGTTCTGAGGAAAAGTGGAGTTAAGATGACTTATGTATTTCTTAATGTTTGCTCGGAATGTTTTCATTATATAGGCAGCGTGAGCTTTTTGCCTTTTCCGATTAATTCCCCCTTAAAGCAGTTTCAGGTTTGTAAACAATGTGAAAAGTATCTTCCTGTCACATAGTAATCTTCCTTGCTTGTTTTTGAAATGTTTTTTTTTCTGTTTGTGTTGGAATATGTTGGGGAAATAAAATAAGATTCCTTTTTTCTTTTGAATAGTCACTATACAGATGTCTGACATGCAAATGAAAACAGAATTGAAAAGAAAGCGACATGAGAATATCAAGAGCCAGAAAATATTAATATCTTAGCTTTCAATGCTGCAGTAAAATAAACTGTTACTGAATTTGGTCTGATACCAGAAACAGCAGAATAAAAATATTAATTGTCTTATGATGAGATTTTATTTCACTTCAAATGTTTTTGAGTATATTTCTTACTATAATATGCTTGCTTTGGGTAAGTACATTTCTGAGACTTACAAGACCTTGACATTTCTTCCAAACCTCTTGTCTATCATCAACTAGGGAAAAAAGCAAGCTATTAATGCGTAGAGTGAATTAGAAAGAGATTAACTGCTATACTTTAATCCTGGAGCAAGAAACTGCTTATAATTTAAAGTTTGCAATCTTTACAGTTTGTTTGCTTTTTAATTTGCTGCTTTAAATACAGTCCTTGTTTATGTGATCTTTAGAACAGAAGTGCTATTCTGACTAAGCCTTAGCTGTTTGTTCAGATTCAGTTAAACCATAATTGTCTCTGTTGTATGTCCTAGGTGACTATGTTGTTTCTGCCTGCGTTGAGGCTTTCAAATCAATTGATCTGACTGTCCATGAAGGAATCCATCCTTGCCTTGGAGCAGTGGACTTAGTTCCAATTTACCCTCTTTTGGATGTAGGCCTGGAGGAGTGTGGAACAGTGGCTCGAAGTAAGTGGAAGTTTTAAGATTTGCAAGAAGTGGAAATAACCTTATTCCCTAAACTGCATCTCTTGCTTTGTCTGAACTGGGGTTAAAAAGTACATGTGTTATCTACCCCTGGGCTGTGAGATGACCAGTTTAGTATATGTTAGTATATGGTAACATGCTTTGTCTACAGTTGACTTTAAAAAGTTACTAAATCTGTTAATATCAACACACAAAATCTTAGTCTGGAAAGACACCTGAGGCCCCAGTTCAGGAAAGCATCTTGACACATTTTAAATTAAATATGTTTTTGTGAGCTTAGCTGGAGAGGGGCCTGCACTGAAATAGGATTGAACATTTTTGGCCCTTACAGCCATGCAGCTCACTTCTAGACGGCAAACTAACAAACTCTTTTGGTACTGGATAGAAAGTTTCTATTTTACAAATCCTTGTGGGATTCTGCTGGGTCCATCCTTTCTCAGTCTTACAGTCTAATGACTATGTGGGCTAGTCTTGTGTTGTGCTGTGTCTAGTGCTTTGGCGCACAGTGTTTTTAAATCGATACCACATTGTTCCATTATATCTCTTTTCCTGGGTTGTAAATTCCATTCCATTGCATTGATGTTCTCATGCTGACATCGTCATGAGCACGGTAGGAATAATCACCATCCTACTATTGCCATAGGATTAGTGTATGACTGTTACAGGCCAGCTGGGCACTGTGAGTATATCAATTTAGTTGCAGACTGACTGAGCACTGCAACTTTATTAGCCACTGGGCTATTTTGGTTCGGAATCGAGGAGGGGATGTGGGGAGTGAAGGCAATGACAATTTTTACTTATAAAAAGAATAATTTTACTTATGACAACAAAAGATATAGTTTGCATATATGACAGTTAGTAAAAAGGTTAAGCTAATAAACAGACAACATAACAATACAGATTAAAATTGACAGTGATAATAAAACAGATAAATTAACCAAGAGTTCCCACATGTTTAGTAACTTATCAATAGTCCTTCAGTTGAAAGACGCACATCAAGCTGATTCAGCTAAGTCAGACGTTTTTGAACTAGGCAGTTGGAAGGAAAATCGGGGGAAGCACTTTAGTGGGGATCTGGTCTTTGCTGTCACAGGGAGTAAGAGAGATCCATGAGGGTATGGGACAGCAATGACCCTTCTGTTCTGTCCTTCCCGAGGGTTATTTAGACGTGCGTGTTCTTTTATATCCTATTTATGCTAATTTTTTAGTTATGTAGCCATTCATAGTGTTACTTTATAACTGTTATCCTATGGGGTTAAAAGGTGTTAGAAATCATTATAATAAATCACTGCCCAAGCTTGGGTTTACTCAATAAGCGAATTACACCACATCACTTTGGGGTCTGAGATGAACATGTCCCCACCTAAGTTCAACCCACTATGTTAATTATATTTTGTGATTACATTTGTTGGCTTTTTTACTGTTTCTAAGCAAAATTTTATAAATCAGCTATGTCTGCGATTGTAATTTTTAGTTCTGCTTTTTAAAGTTCATACTGTCTGGAGATTAATACAAAAAGCTATATATAAATCTTTTTTCAGACAGACAGGGAACTGTTTCATCAGCCACTTTGCAGATATCTCAGAAAGCAACATTTTTCTGGTTAAAGCTGCCCATTTGACCTTTCTGGTTCTGGCTGTCACAGTATGACCAGTTAAAAAAATTAGACGTATACAAGTCAGTGGGACCAGATGATCTTCATCTGAGAGTGCTGAAGGAGCTGGCCAAAGTAATTGCGAAACCCCTGGCAAAACTCTTCCACAACTTGTGGCTCTCTGGAGAAGTCTCTGAGGACTGGAGGAGGGCCAATGTTGTGCCCATCCACGAGAAGGGCAGGAGGGAGGACCCAGGTAACTATAGGCCAGTCAGCCTAACTTCCATCCTAGGGAAAATCCTAGAAAAGTTCATCAAGGAGTCTATCTGTGATAAGCTTGCAGAAGGTAAGATTCTGAATGATAGCCAGCATGGCTTCATCACAGGCAGGTCTTGCCTTACCAACCTTATCTCCTTTTATGACCAGGTAACTCACCTGGACACGAGAGAGCAGGTTAGCATTGTATACCTTGACTTCCAAAAGGCCTTTGATCTAGTATCCCCTGATGTCCTCGTGAAAAAATTGGAGGATTGTGGGCTTAACTCTGAGACAGTCAGGTGGGTGAGAAACTGGCTGCAGGATAGGACCCAGAGAGTCATAGCGAACAGTTCTGTGTCATCCTGGCAAGAAGTGGGCAGTGGTGTCCTGCAGGGGTCGGTGCTTGGTCCAGTACTTTTCAACATCTTTATTAATGATTTGGATGTGGGGGTTTATGGGGAAGCGTGCTCGCTCTTGAAGATAGGCTACAGTTACAGGCAGACCTAGACAGGCTGGCAAGTTGGGCGGATTAGAATCTGATGAAGTTCAACATCGAGAAATGTAAAGTGCTCTACCTCAGGATGAGCAACCCCCAACACACCTACAGGTTTGACAGCACCCAACTGACTAGCACCATGAATGAAAGGGACCTGGGGATAATAAAAGACCACATATGAATATGAGCTGGCAGTGCGATGCTGTAGCCAGTAGGGCACATAATACTCTGATATGCATTTTTAGCAAAAGCAAGGAGGTGATTCTTCCGCTCTACTCAGCACTGGTGAGATCGCAACTGGAGTACTGCATCCAGTTTTGGGCACCACACTTTAACAAGGACATGGACAAGCTTGAGAGAGTTCAAAGAAGAGTCACTTGTATGATCAGAGTCTTAAAAGGCAAGCCATATGAGGAAAGGCTGAGGGATCTGGGACTCTTCAGCCTGAAGAAAAGAAGGCTGAGAGGGGACCTGGGGGCATGTGAAGGGGTGAGACAAAACTCACAGCATGGAGGGCCGGCAGGGCTGCAGCTGGAGACTGGAAGGGAAGGAAAATACTCACCCCACTTCCGGAGCAGCATCTCACTCAGGATTGGAGGAGGGAGGCTGCCAAAAGGTATTTCTGGCCCTGGAGAGGGGCAGAGAGGGGTCAGTTCCCTGCACACTGCAGAGAGAGAGGAGCGGCTGAGTGTCCTGGCAGGCAAGGGCTGAGGAACTTGCCAGAGAAACACTGCTGGAGTGACCCTGAGCAGGAGGCAGGGAGGCCTGCACACACAAGGCTGGTGATAGTCTCCAGCATGGAGCCGCAGCTGGGGATCTGGAGAGGGAGTCCACAAGGCCTGTGATAATCTCCGGAGTGGAGTTTTCAACAGAGGATCTGGAGGAGGGGCCTGAGGGAAACTACAGTTACAGGTAGAGCCTTTCTGCACATGGGGGAGACTCCAAGGAGACTGTGAATGCTTACAGGGGTGCAGGGCAGGCCGGCGCATAACAAAGACTGGACTAAGGGATTTTCTTCATCGTTGCAATTGGGATTTTGAGAACCTGATTCCGGGTAAAAGGGGACATGGGCTGAGCCCGACAAAGGGGGTGAGAGTAGCCGGGGTTTTCCTTGGGTTTTTTTTGCCTTTTCTTTTGATATTTGAGCATAGGCCAAGACCAGCCCAAGAAGGATGTACCTAATCAAGACCAAAAGTCACCCTGGGGTAGAGGGACAAATAATACCACAACAGGCAGCACTGTGACCTGGCTGCAGAAGGATTTTGTCAGTACCATCTGGAGAGGCTAGGCTCAGGTAAAGAGGAGGTTTGGAGCCCCACAGAAGAAACAGGGATCAAGACTAGGCAGGATCACTGCAGGCAGTGCCTCCTGGGAATATATTTTATCAAAGTCATGGCAGGTGAGAAAACATAAGACCAAATTCCTGGCAGACCAAGTGATCCAAAGCCGAGGTGCATCCTGTCACCGCCTGTAGGCAGACGAGCTCAGGGCAGTGGTAGCAAGCCCTACAACACATATAGCCATCACAGGGCAGCTTACCACTACACTAGTGGAGTACATCAAAGGCTAGGTGAGCAACTGTTCATCATGGCACCCAAGGGGAAATGTAGGAGTAATGGCCACAAACTGCTGGAAGACCAATTCAGGCTCAATATTAGGAAAAACTTCTTCATAGGGTATGGAATAAGCTCCCTCCAGAGGTGGTGCAAGCACCTACCCTGGAAATCTTCATGGGGAGGATAGACGGTCACCTTGTTGGGGTCTCCTGACCCCCAGTTCTCATTCCTCCTTGGTGCAGGGGGCTTTTGGCCTTACAATCTATGAATTGCTGTAACATATGAGCTCATTTCAAAAATACATTGAAGGATATGAATAGCATTTGGCACAAGCAATTTCTCATGTGCAGGCCATTGTATTGACTTACTAATGGGCTTTCCCAGTGCTTTCCCAAGGGTTGCTGTGCCTTAACAGCATTTTCACCTGCTGGAGACCAAGGCATTGAGATTGGGGTGGAACTCCCACTTTCCGTGATCTTGTAATAGCCAGGCTGGATGCTTTTGACAAAGATGTACCATTTTCTGATCTTTAGTCATAGTAGCAGGCTTTAAAATCTGAAGTTTAAATCTTCAGTCACCTCAACTCTAGGTTTAGTTTAACCAGTTGAGATTCATGGGCCTATTTAGTCTGAACTCATAAAGATCAGGTACGTTTTCTAAATGATACTTTTTTAGTCCCTTCACACTAACTTGGTTAAGTAACCAAACTGAAAGAAACAAAAGCTGAGAGGAATGTCAGTGACTTTACAGACACAAAATACACATTAATGTAAATCAAGCACATACAATCAATTAAGTGCATTCCAAACTGCAGACCTTATATGCTGCTTTTATTACTTCAAAATTGCAGTGAAATATCTCATTGTAACCACTGAGTTGTCTGTTTTACATTTATAGGAAAACTTTTGTGATAACAATATAAACATGATTTAAACTACTGTACAAACAAGCCTTTCATTTTGGTTTAGGCTGTCCTAAAACAGAAAGTCACTGAAGTCATTACTTAGATATCCAGAACTGAAGCATAACCACCAAAAAAGAGCAATACAGTAAAATCCCTGTTATCCGGCATTTGAGTAACCGGAACACTCTATTTACTGGAATTTCCAGGTGGCCAGACACAGGCGGTGGGGGGGAAGGAAGCTCACGCAGTGGCTGCTACCGCCACTCACTACCGTGTGCTGCAGCTGTTCTGTGTGTGGTGGCCACTGCCACCCCCCACTTACCCCCAGTTGTTTGCTTTTATGACTTTGGATCAAGTCCATTAAATCAAATGTAATAATTTTGTTTCCTGTAATATTATGTGTTTGCATTGTGCTCTTCCTTTATTTTTTTCAACTTCTGTAGGCATAGCTGAGCGTCTGACTCTGCATATCCCAGGATGCAGTGTGTTTCTTTTTGGGCATGCTGATCAACCTGAGAAGCGAAGCCTTGTTCAAAGAAGAAAGCAGCTAGGTTGGTTTATAGGGAGGGACTTCAAATCAATGGAAAATAAACCTGATATAGGAGCCACACTTTCCCAAAGATATGGTCTAACAGGTAGGAACTGCCTTAGTTAAAATATATAAATTAAAATGTTAAGAAATACTGAATGTGGGCTGGATTTAAATCCCACTGAAGTCAGTGGACTCATTGGAATAGAATTTGAATTGTGCCCCGTAAAAGGGCCAAATCCTAAAATGTTTTACCAAGTCTCTACAGGGGTGTGTAGTGGAGTGGGACTTCCATTGGTCTCCATATCCAACTAAGACGCCAATGAGTAGATTCTGTAATAAAATGTATGGAGAAAATATTGGCAGCTACTTTAAAAGTATGGAAAAGTCTTCACAATGCTACATGAAACTCAGTGAAGATAGTATTTCAAAATGTGTGATTTCTAAGAGAGTGATGGGATGAAATTGTCTTTAGTATGAGAAGGAGCTTATTAAAGTTATTGAATTGTTCCATGAGATGCTAGAAAGAAGCAGAATCTTCAGTTTTTTGTATGTGAACAGGCAGGCATCACTCTCCATCTGGGCTAGTAAATCTCCTTGGAGTTCAGAGATTTTGAAGACCGGTATTTATTACTGGTTTTCTCAGGCTGCTTCTTCAGAAGAAATCATTAACAAACAGGGAGACTTTTCTAAATATTTGAATTATTTTTCTCTGCTATTTTTCTTGGTGGTCATTTTTAGATGTATGTAGACATTTTTGGCTAAAACATCAAGATTGATTGATTGATTGATTTGTATGCAAGTCTGCTCACTAGTTGTTTCTTCACTTAAGGAACTGTCTCAAGGATAGACAGTTATGTTGTTCTCGAAATACAACAGAAGTAGCCAGTATTAAAAGGCAGAATGATTTTAAAATCTCCCAGAAAGGCTCTGGTTTTTATACTGAAACACCTTTGTATGCATACTTTTGTGCACAATTTACTGTGGATAGACTGGGAGGATAAGAAAAGCAATAATTTTTCTCTTTTCTAGCTATGAAATCATCCTTTGAAGGGACAACTGCTGTTCTCACAACACATACCACTTAATTGAAAATTTAGAAGTTACTGTAAAATAAAACCAAATGTAGCATAATCTATCAAACACCCACACTCAAAAGGGGAATTTTAAATTAGACTTCAGCCTTGTGATGTAGGACAAAAATTAGTGAAGAAGCAAATTTCAGTTTTGGTCTTCCCATACATTTACTCCTAAAGAAAGGAGAGGATATGGGAAGGAATAAGAGGCGCAATGCACATCTGCTATGAATGCCAATTAAGGCTGTAAGTGAAGATCTGTCAGTAAAGTTTAGTACTTTGAGGCCTACAGATAAACATCACATTAGAAATGACACCTTTAGCATTTATGTAGTCATGTAAACATCATCATCAGGTATATTTAGTGGTAAATTCTGCATTGTCTTTTTTAAAATGGATCAAAGAGAGTAGCTTCACTACCTGTATTGGGTACTGAAAATACTGAATATAATAGTCAGGACTGAGCACTGCAGCAGACAATCCTTGTCTTTTACTTCAGAAAATCCAATTAATGGTCAATCCCATGAACTACCCTTTATCCAGTTCTGTAAAAAGGAGGGATCAATCCCCTTTCTAGTGGACTCTAACAGTTAATTCTGAGTTATAATGTTGGGCGTGATGTTTCATCAAAAAAACCAGGGGTTAATTATTGCTGCTAAATTTCAATAAGGAAAGGAAATGAAAAGCCAGGAAAACATTCAGAGAGCTTGATACTTTTCCTGTTAAAATCAGTGAAAAATACATGGACATATATAAGAATATTAATACTACTATCTTGCTCCAAAATCTACCACTTCAGTGAAACAAATGTGAGATGGAAGAGCATCATGAGCAACATTATGTGTATGAGAATGCTCAATATCCTGTACTGCTTCAGAAATCTGATTCCTGGTATTACCACAATTCATAGCTCAATTATCCACAGCAAGTATCAGTCATAGCCATGTACACCCTTTTTGGGATCAGCACCAGAGTCTAGCCACTTGACTCATTTTACCAAACGCTACTTGATATTTGCAAGATGCCACTGAAACTTAACATGAGGCAAGCCACTCATAATTCCTATTTACAGGAGGTATTCTAGGCATAAACTCTGTGCACATGCTGGTAGGTCATAAAAGGAGGTCACCCTGGCTGTTCCTGGATCTCAGATCTAGAGCAGTGTGAAATGTAGCAGTTACAGTTTGACCCTCCCAGGTTTCATTTCAGGTTTCAGAGGGTGTGTCTATATGTGCATTAATGCACCGTAGTTAGTGTGTATTAAATGTAGTACCTCCATTGTGAGGGTGCCTATACATGAGCGTGGAGACTGCTCTGACATTCTGGAATTCCAGTGCTTTGGAGCAGACTCAATTAATCAAGTCTGCTGGAGCATGGCAATTACTGTGCTCCAGCAGCCTCCTGCATCTTGTAAATCAGCATCTCCACACTCAAAAATGGTGGCAGGGTGCTTGAAGTAAACCTTGTCAAACAAGCTTTAGTTCAAGCACACCTGCCACCATTTTTAAGCATGAGGACACTGATACACGAGATGTAGCAGCACTTTAATTAGACCAGCTCTTGGAGTTGCTCTAATTAAAGCACTGCCCACTCCATCCCTGGAGCACATGTAAAAGTGCCCTGAAGTACTAGGAAAATGCACATTAGTCTAGCTTAATGTGCTTTAAGTAAAGTGTATGCTTTTAAAGTTATGATTAATGTGCATTAGCCTATTTTCATAGACATTAGGGCTGGAAGGGACCTCAGAAGATCATCAAGTCCAGCCCCAAATCGAGTCCCCATTTTCATGCGCATTAAGTAAAAAACACAGTTTTTCTACGGGATGCTTTAATGTGCATTAAAATAGGCTAATGTGCATTAAAGCGCATGTGTAAACATGCCCAGAGTTGAACAAATCCCAACATCACAAAGCAAAACTCATTTGAACCACGACGTTTCACTTAGATTCACATAAAGCAAAACCAAGTGCAGTGAGAGGTGCAGGCACATACAAGAGCCCGCATTCACCCCAAGCTGAATTTGCATGCATTTGAAACCTTTCGTAATCTTTTGAGTAATCCAAGATTAAAGTTTATTATCAGACTCAGAACTTGGAATGTCAATTTCACTGACTTTGGGATGTCATATCAAAGTAACATGGACTTTGAGCTGTACTTAGAATATCTGTCCTCCTCTGAAATAGCTGGTTGTGCTCATTTGCATGTTGGTATGCAGTATTTTTGTCTATCCTACTTTTGTTCTTTTAAAGCACTGTAGACTGATCACAGCTCAAACTGAACAGTTTGCTTTTCAGCTGGAGGGAGAGGAACAAAAGTGCTCAGTGCCATTTTGTGGCTTTTTATTTTTGCTAAGATTGACAATGAAGCAGTAAGGCTAATCTCCACATTAACATCTGAATTCTGGCAAGATGCTGTGCTGAAGTGACTGCCAAAAACCCATACACACAAGGAGAATAACAGGATAGATATTTTCCATCAATTCAAACCCTGGCTGTCCCAAAATTCTGTTGAGCAGCTGCTCCACAACCCTTCCATGACAGGAGCTTGAAAGGGGTCAGGGAATATGGTCTGAATGTAGTTGTTCTGTTACTTGTAATACTGTAGCACATGGAAGCCCTGTCTATGGATCTGGATATTGCACACAAGATGGACCCATCCTGTCTTCTTCTTAACTTACAGGTTACTCACTCAGCATTCTGTGACACAGAAAATTAAACACTTGGTAAGACTGGGCTATGGCCTTATAACATGAACAAGCAGAATGCCTTATAACAGAATGTCTCCACAATATTCCCAACAGATTTAATTTTGGAACAGCAATATTATTTCTCCAGTGTTGAATGCAGTGGAGAAGCCCCAAGTTGTATAGTGTTTATTTTAAAACTCCATTTTTTTGTTGGAGTTCTCTAATGTATGAGGCCAGTCCATTAAACCAGCTGGATTCTCCAGCTCACTTACTACCAATTGATTTAATCTGTAAAATGTCCTGGGAAAATAAGCAAGAGCATTACAGAGTTATCTTCTCTCCTCCAGATAAAATAAGGCTCTTTGTGTACTTTTGAAAAAAAATGCTCTCAGCATCTTTGATTTTATTGAAAATGACAGTGTTTGGATCCAGTTTAAGAGAACTTATGATATGTGAATAATTTTCTGAGAAAAGAATACATGTTTTTCTTCTATGATCACTGCTTTTTATTTTTCTAATGGGGTTTTCACCATTGTTTTGTCTGAATGCATTTTTATTTTTGTTGCTCCAGACATGATCCTGCCACAAGCATCTTTAAACGAGACATTAATAGCATAGTTCACAGTCATTACTGCCAGTGCTCAAACACAAATATTGCATTTATGTTTGGAGGAAAAAATACACATCAGATCTTAATTAAGTACATTTGTTTTTTGCTCTGCTTAAACAATCGGGCATAAAGAGTTGACATCACTATCAGTTAACTGTAAAGGTCTTTGCAACATTGGGATCATCAGCTGTACAGTATAAGATTCAGAGTTTTTTAAAAAATAGCAAAACTGTCAGGGAAACATTAGGCTTTATACACTTCCCTGACACACAAGTAGAGTGGGAGAACTATTCATAATGAATAATTTATCTGAATTTGGCCTCTCTGTTGTTGCTGTTTTTAGAATGTTCATAAACAAGCTGATTTTGTGGGATACAGTGTGATGTTAGTTGACAGTACTGGCAAAGGAGTCAGGAAACATGGGTTCTTGACCAGTTCACTTTTATCTTTGGCAAGATGCTATATCACTTCTATCATGCTGTTTCTCCTCCCACCACTTGTTTGTTTAGATAGCCAGTTCCATGGGGTGGGGGCTATTATTTAAGTGCCATGACTACCTTTCTGGTTGAAATTATTAGACACTGCTGCAGTAGTAATAAATAAAAACAACTGAATAATTTATATAGGAAACTGCAACCTTTGGATTGACCATCAGTTGTCAAAAGCAGTTATTAATATGATTATTCATGCTATGACGGATCACCTGAGTCACATGACTTCATTCCTGTTCCCTGTGTACAAAAGGACTGAATCTTAGCAAGTGCCATTGTGGGGCTTTATTAGTGATATAGTAGTAAAAGTAAATGGGCAAAATATTTTTTTACATATGAAGCCAAATATTTATAAATTGTAATAAAGCAATATACATTTTACCAACATTTAAAAAGGAGAGGAAACATAAATATCAGTGGAAAAATGCAACTTATTCATCACTTCAGAATTCATTCTTTGAAATGCCAATATTTACTCTTTTTTTGCTTTGGTTAAACAAAACTTACCCATTTTGAAATTTATTTAACTGGTAAAGTTAACCTGAAGCATCTTGCTTGTAGGGAAGTCTTTCTTTCGTAATCAATTTTTAGATTGATTGAGGCACAAGGGATCTAAATGGAAGACAAGCTCGTAATGAATTTCCAAATCTTCCACAGTATGTAGAATCCCACAGTGTGACACAGAAGTTATACCTAAGCAAAATGAATCACAGTCCCTAACTCACCTGAGAGTTAGAGCAATCTTACAACTTTTAGTAGTTTGCTGTAATACCTAATGAAGTGTAAGTGTATGTATGTGTATAGCAAGTTGGTGGGTAAATTAAAGTTTAGATTTAGCTGGTTGTCCTCATTTTCACATGGATGATTCTTGGCAGTCATTTGCAGGTGAGACACTATTTTGGAGATAACCCAGGCTCCTGCTCCTAGGAGCACCAACAAGCATCAGGAAGGTGATGTACTCTTATTGCTTGAGTCAAGAACCAGATGCTGTATTGTACTATGGCCTTCACTGTCTTTGCTCCAGTCATATGAGTGTTGCTATCAATGCAACTCAGTGATTATACAGAGGCCCCAAACAAAGGGCTTTCTAAAAGAGCATGTAGTCATTGCTGAGTTGGAGGAAGTGAGGGCTTTCTGTTATATTGCCTTTTAAAGGTGTGGAGGTAGTCAGTCCATGTTTTATACTTTCTCTGTAATAGGTTGATGTTTTATAGTTGTTGCTATCTTGCAAAGAAGAACTATATCAATTCTGTGTCTTATTTGAACTGATTCATTTCCTGTAAGAATTTGGGATAGATGTCTGGTCCATTACGTTTTGAAAGAAGGAGGGAAATTTAATATTTGTGAAATCAACTCTCTAATCTAATTTATTCATGCAGAATCCCCAACAGCAAGACCAAGGGCTCCATCTCTAGGAGCTGAATTATTATATAGATATTCCATTATAATGCATGTGATAGGCTTGGATGGAAAGGGAGAAGAAAAATTAAATCTGTCTTGTCTGGTTTCAATAACCTGTCTCTTTGTATGTGCAAAAGGAATGATACTTTTAGGGCTTCAGGATGAGGAAACAAAACAAAAGAAATATTAATGAGCTATTGAAGAAAAGGAAAAGCTTAGACATTTACATATTAGATACTTGTGTTAATGAAACACTGGTTTGGAAACAGTAAGTATAGAAAGACAAAGATTAAATTTAGCTTAAAATAATTACTCGGGACAAGTTTTGTCCTCAGATGTTCGTGCATTGCTGTTACTGAATTCAGCTGGAGCCAGCAGGACACACTCAAGACTAATCTGGCCATATGCCATTTTATTTATGTGTATTTGTGTGTGTGTGTCTGAAAGGGAAGATTAAGAGGGGAAGTCATGGGAGTTCAAAAGGAGCTTTGTTCTAATTGAGTAACCTGTTTTTTATAGGTATTGGAGCCAGCCCTTATGTGATGAATTGCAATGTGACCATAGACACTCAAGACCTAGCTACAGGAAGAAACATAGCAAGTGCTATCCGAGGTAACAGTGCAAGTGGTTTGAAAGGCATACAGAGTATGGCTTTTCCCCATGATGGAAAGATTGAAATAGCTTGCAACGTAGAGAGCTTTGAAGAGGCAGACACTGTGGTGACCTCCCCTGACGACTCTGGGTATATTTCATACTGTGTTCTTGGAAAGACACATTATTATGTCTCCCCTCAATCAGTAGAGGCTCGGATTCATAAATTGGCCGCTGACCAACAAATAAAGACTGTTGGGACAGCATTAGTTGGCTTTACCCCAGAAGAGTGTAAGCAGCATGCTACATACGCATTAATGAAAAGCACTGGAGAGTTCTGGAAGATGAGGGGGGGCATTTTTATGTGACTTCCTTTTATCTCCATAGATATAAATCACGATGTATTGAGATTATGGTGTACATGACTTAATCCCAAATTATTTTATTTGTGTGGGGAGACACAAATGAGCAGTAGGGAAGCCAGTGTATTTCATGCTAATAAAATGGTCTGACAACTTATGGTCTGACCAGCTCCTGCTGAAAACTACAATTTGTCTGAACCTGATTCTGCAGCTGGCTGGGAGGGGAGGCTCTTAATTTTTATTGGCATGTCCAGTGATCATTAAATATCCTTCTTTCATAAGCTCTATGTCTTTACAGACACCACTTGTGTTTCATTGATCTCTGCCTGGGCAGTCTCTAACTGTCATCTCCTGGTCCCTATATTGGGATGGATTGTAGTGGCTGCATTGTAGTTTAAGGTTCATTCCACTGACTAGGGGGGAAAAAATCCTTGTCTCAGAGGGAAGAATGGAATAGAATGGGAGAGGGGATTGGATGCAGTTCTTTTGTCTTTTGTTGGGTTGATTGCAGTAAATATTAGGGCTGTGCAAAGCTTCAGTCCCTGATTCAATTTGGCGGAGATTCAGCCCAATTTGGTGGCCAAATCTGAAGTGAATCAGGAGACCCTTTAATCTCTTGGAATCAAATCGGAATCCTCCAAATCAATTTGGAGAGATTTGGAAAGATTTGGTAATTCAGATGCAGACACAGCTTTAAATGTTTTTTCTACATACCTCAAGGTACCAGGTGGCTCATGAATGCTGAGATGCTGGGGCGGATGGAGCGTTCCACAGGAGCACGGGGATCCCCATCGCACTTGGCAGCAGACCTGGAAGTGGACCAGAAGCACTTCTGGTCCACTTGCGGGTCTGCTGGGGAGCATGCAGGGGGGCCCCTGTGCCCCCCCGGCTCAATGACTGGTGCCTCCTGGGTCTGGGGGGGGCACCCGGGGTCCCCCCACAGCCAATTGCCAAGCCAGAGGGGCCCCCAGAGCGCTCAGTGGCGGACCTGGAGGTGGACCAGAAGTACTTGCAGTCCATTTCTGGGTTTGCTGCTGACCACACGGCCTCTTGCCCATCCCCGCACTCCTGTGGGACGCTCCATCTGCCCCAGCATAACAGCATTCATGAGCTGTGTCTGGTACCTTGAGGTATGTAGAAAAAACATTTAAAGCTGTGTCTATGTCCGAATCACTGATTCTCCAAATCAACATCGAATCTTCAGATTTGGATTAAGCCAAAGCGAATTGGGGATAGGGATCCGAATTAACAAATCAAGTCACTGTCCCTGATTCAGGCCAAATCCGAATCAAATACAGCCCATTTCGCACATCCCTAGTAAATATAGCTGGTCAAAAATGGGGAAAATCTCAGCAGGTATTGGCAATATATTCCATTTATGGTTTAAAATGTTGAATTGTGAGCAATTTCTTTTCACTTCAGCTCTGGCACTGTGAAGCAACGAGGGGGTTACTAATGTCTCTGTGCATAACTGGGTCTCAGTAACATTTGAGTATTGAGAGAGAAATAGTACTGGGTCAAGCTGCCAGCCAGTAGCAGAAACAGTACTCAGGCTTCCCATTGTGCAGCACTAGCAGCATATGCAAAGATTTCTCAGTAATAACTTCTCAGAGCTTCCTGCAACCCCTGATTCTCTCAGCAGTGTCAGGGAGGGGTATGTCCAGACGTCTCCTGGAACATCCTCTTTTTGGCTAGGGACAGATATTCAAAAAGCCTGAGCCTGAATTGATTCAATCTTTGCAGGTTAGTCTAACCTGGCTAGGCTGTGCCAGTTTGTAACCACACAGACATCCCCTCTGGACTAAAGAAATGCAGGCACATGCCTGCTGGGGGCAGGCGCTAGAGCAGCCCTCCCTTCCCTTCCACAGTGTTGAGCTGAGGGGGGGCGTGGCCAAGCCCCAGTAGGACGCTGTGATTAGGGAGGGGTTCCCACCCCCTTGCTGCTCCTGACCAGTGAGCCAGCGGTGACTTAATACAGCAGGGAGTTGCACAGGGAGTTGATAGCATTTAGCACCCCATCCAGAAAACAAAAACCTCTCTCTTTAGTTCAAGCTCTTAAACAGCTTTTTCCAAGGAAGGAATGGACTGACATAACCAGCTACCTGCTGATTAGCTTCCAAAAGCCTTAAACAGACACTGTCCTGTCTGCCTTTATCCTGTCTGCCTTGCACACAGACACCTCTCAGCATTAGCTAACATACCCCATGCTAGCTATGGTCCATGATATGGGAGAGAATCCCTGCTTGATCATGGAGTTGGTGCGGGGGAGGGGAGGAGTCATTGGGAAACCAGGCAGACGCTGCTGTGCCTGCAGTCTCTGTTTGAGCTCCAGCCAGGGAGCAGAGGGGTGGGGCCAGCCCAGCTCTCTGGAGCAGAGAGCCCTGCCCAGGGCTGCAAAGCATCTACGATGCTGGAGGACTCTGGTTTAAGTTAAACCAGGAAGGGGCCTGGGACAGACATTTGACCCAAGTCAGGTAAGTCTGATACTACATTCAGGCACCCAGGGGTCAAAAAAAACACTCTGCAGAGCAGTGGGTCCCAGACCATGCCTGGAACAAACACAGGAGTCAGTCCTCCAGAAGAGATGCTCTGGTTTCGGCCAGAGCATCTCTGTGGTGCTCTTGCTGCCCCCTGGTGCTGTCCAGGGTAAGTTTGGCAATGGGGTGAGGGGGTTTATGGGTGTGGGTGGGTGAGTGTGTGTGACGGGTGGCAGGGGAATATTGGGGGGCTGTTGGGAGTGGGCAGGGTTCTTGGGGGCTATGGGGAGTGGAGGGGGATGGGAAGTGGTGGGGAGGACATGTCCCAGTGGGGGATGTGGAGGTGCTTGAGCAGGGCCTGCCATACGTCTGCACCCCCACACACACTTCACCCCTGTGGCGCCGGTGGCAGTAGGCAGCATGTCTGTGGCTCTACTGCAGGCAGAGCAGGCAGTGTTGCAGTGCCTTGTGACCCGGGCTCCTACATGCTGAGTGGACCTGGCCTGGCCCGCTTGTGTCTTCGATGAGCCGGGTCGGATCCAGTCA